ATGATTTGTAGTTTTTCCACACATTTGGAAATATTTTGTGTCTTTATTAACTATTAAATAATTTGTGAATATATCCAGAGATTTAGTTAAGAAATGAGAATTGTTAATCTAAGCTCTTGGATTTAAAATGGATGGTTAAAATTGAATATCAAGTTTTTAAATATATATATATATATATATATATTTCGTATTTTTAAATTTTATTAAATTTTATATCATAATCCTAAACAAAACTATTAAAAATTTTCAAGTCTATTTGAAATTTTTATCTTAATTCTTTATTTATTTAATTAAATTCTAATGATTTATTGTCTTTTTAAACATTTAAAAATAATTTGCAGCTTTATTAACTATGTAATAATTTGTAGTTTTTGTGTTATAAATTATTTTTATGATTCCATGATTCAGGAATCTTTGTTAAATAAAAGATTTAGTTCAAAGAAAATGCAATTTTCTATCAGGCGCGAGTAGTGCAATGTATACTAATAATATTTTGGTGCAATGTATACTAATAATATTAATTGTTAGAATTCATAATTTTAACCGTATTTGAATCTAGTATAGAACTAAGTTCACATTCGAAACAAAGCATTAGTTATTATAAATAAAAACAATTACGACCCGTTTGGTAGTTGGGATTAAATAGTGAGGATGGAAATGATTTTAAGTGTAATTTAAATAGGGAAGAAGTCTTCAAATCTCTATTAAAAGTCAATCTTCTCACAAGTTTTTCTCCATGGAGAATAATCTACTCTCAAACTTCTCTATGGGGACATAATTTTGCCTATCTAGCTTATGTTTTTCATGATTTTTCATTACCACTCAATACCACTTGGGAGAATGGTATCGAGCGATAATGAAAAATAAAGAACAATGGTCTTTTTGGGATGAAATGACATTCCCATGGGAATGAACATCGATTTTCTTCCCAAATTTACATACAAATTCATTCTCATTATCATTTTTTATTACCTACAACCAAATGTGTTGTTAAAGTATTATTTGTCCATTTCAGATAAATAAATAAGCTTTTTGGAAATTAGTAAGCAACATTATATCACATAACAAAGTAGAAAACATTGATCAAACTAAATCATACATGAACAAAGCAATTAAAAATTAACAGAATACAGGGCTCGAACCTAAAGTTACAATTATTTGCCCTAATTGTCATATATCAATTAGCTATTTGGAAACATAGTAAACAACACCACATAACAAGCTAAAATTCAGAATTTAGGGCAATTCAATTGGAAAACAACCCATATAAATCACACAAAAAAAAGGTTTAAGAAACTTACAACTAAAAAAAAGCACGAACGGATGAGGAAGGAAGTGATATTGTTTGGTGGTGTCAAGCCTTAGGTCACAGTGACTAGGGCTGTCTATTTGGACTTTGGATTGGATTTAGCCCTAATCCAATCCAATCCAATCTGAATAAGAGTTTGGACTCTAATTTTCTAGTCCAAATCCAATCTAAAGTTGGTTTGTATCCAATCCGATCCGATCTAATCTAAGGTTATATAGTTTAAATCCAGTCCGACCCAATTCGAATTAATTTTAAAAAAAACAAACAAAAATACTCAACTTTAAACACACAAATTTATAGAAGTCAATAGTCATACTACATTAAGACACACAAATAAGTTAAAATAAGTCTTAAGAAATATACTTAACACATAAAAAAGTCATACTACATTAATATATATATATATATATATATATATATATATATATATATATATATATATATATATATATTTATTTATTTAGAATCAAATGAGAAGGGACCTTAACGTGAGAAGTGTGAGAAGCAATCTAGATCGTTGAATTTTAGATGGACGACTATGATTTAAAGTGAATGTGCATAATTTTTCCACGGATGTGCATAAATTTGAGAATGAATGTGCATAAATTTTTATCGGATATGCATAATTTTTCCACGAATGAAAATTATGCACATCCAATGAAAATTTATGCACATCCGATCACAGAATTATGCACATCCGTGCAAAAATTATGCACATTCGCGAGAAATCATGACCGTCCATCCAAAATCCAACGATTTAGAATGTTTTTCACACTTCTCGTTTTAAGGATTCTTCTCATTGGATCCCTCCCCTATATATATATATATTATTTGGATTGGATTGGATTTTTGGATTTCAAAATTTTCAGTCCAAATCCAATCTAAAAATCCAAGATTTTAAAATTTTGAGTCCAAAGCCAATCCAAATTTACAAAAATCAAATCCAAATTGCTTATTTGGATTGGATTGGATTGGACTTTGGATTTTTGTCCGAAATGTGGACAGCCCTAACAGTGACAGTCGCCAAGATAGTAGAGAGGGAGTGGGATAGAGGAAAGCAATAGAAAAATCTGAGAGGTGGAATAAGCACGAGGGTTCACGATATATTGGGGGCATGTATGTCATGAATTAGGCTGCTTTCTTTTTCAAGTCATTTTAGGTCAGATTATGTCTAATAAGTTTCAATCATTTCTCATAAGGTTTAATAAGTTTCAATCAGGTCTGGTCTGGTCTAGTCTGGTCTGATTAAGTGTAGTAATAAATTTCAATCCGCTCTCATTTTTTTCAATTAGTTATAATGTGGTTTTATAAGTTCCAATCAGATTTCATAAGAGTTCATAAATTTAATAAGATTTAAGGAAATTACTAGCACATATAAATAAAATTGTTGGAAACCAGATAATAGTAATAATAATAATAAACAACAACAACAACAATGTTTTTATAGGTATTGATTTTCCTAATACTTAACATATTTGATCTCGAGATATAAAACAAACCCTGATGTTTTTATAGGTATTGATTTTCCTAATACTTAACATATTTGATCTCGAGATATAAAACAAACCCTGGACCATATATCATTGATAATTTTTTCCCATCTCCTTTTTTTTTATAGAATAAATATAGATATTTTAAAAAATTTGATTAAAAAGTAACGGATATAAATAAATTAATAAAAAAATTGATTAAATTTGTGAAAGTTGTTTTTTTCTTTTGATTCAAAGTGTCACAACTTGAAAAAACCGACATATCATAAGTAAAGCTGAATAAGTAATGTTTATTATTGACACCTTGAAAATATATTTAGTGTTAGAACTTTAATAACAAATATGCAATTATTTATTTTAATTTATTTATAAGTTTTTCTCTCTTAATTTTATACTTTTCAATTGGATTTCAAGTCTCATAAGGTCTAATCAAGTTTGACAGATCTGATCAAAGGAAATTAGGTTTGATCGGGGCTTATAAGTTTTAATTAGGTTTTATGGTCAATCGGGTATGATCAAGGCTTATCAATTTTAATTAGGTTTCATCGGGGCTATAAGGGTCAATCAGGTTTCACCCACTACTACATTTTTGATCAAATGCAACGGCCTAATAAAGGCTAATACAACGGTATTTTAATTGCCGTTGCAATAGAGTAGGCTAATGCAACGAATTCAGCACTAATGTTCTAAGAGGTAGAGCTATTACAACGGCTCTAACGAACCTTGGCATTAGCCTAGATATTTCAACAAAAAGGGAAGCTGATGCAACGGTATGTGATTATGAGTAGGAGGCGCGCCGAAAATTTCAGCTTCCCTCTACTTTTTTTGCCCAAATATTTTGAACCCTTACACGTGTTACTATTCCAAGGGCAAAAAAGAAGGAAAAAAATAGAAAAGCAAAAGAACTCTGTAGGTTGTACTACCATTTTCTCACATTTTGTACTACCATTTTACCCAATTCTCCATTTTCCCCAATTCACATTTTCCCCAATTCTCTTACTATCAATTTCTATTACATCAATTAAGCAATTTTAATTAAGCAATTTCAAAAACTTCAAATTCTCAATTTTCCCCAATTCTCCATTTTTGAGGCCATAAATTACTCAAAAATTCTGAGAGGAAAATTACTTATAATTTCTTGAAAATTCTGAGAGGAAAACTAAGCAAAGAAATCTGAGGAAGTAGACAAAGGCGGCACTCAAGCGGTGGCTGGTTGCTCGAACTTCAGGCGACGGCTGGTTGGTCGAACTTCAGGCGGTGTAATTTTAGTGGAGAAATCCCATTTTCATCTTGCATGTCCCTTCCTTGTGGATAATATCTCGAATTTCAGTTCAAGGTATACAACGAAATTTCGTTTCTAAGATTTATTAATTGAAATTTTTGTTGTTGCATTTTGATAAATTAAATTTGAAGTTTTTACTGCTGTTTTTGGGAATTTGTATTTGAGGCCATGGAAGATGGAATTACTTGATTCTTTGAGTTCGAATTTCAGGGTTTTTTTCCTCGAATTTTACTGGGAAAATGCTATACATTGTTGGGCTATGTTGGGTCGAATTTCTAGTTGTTTTTGCTCGAATTATATGGGAAAAAATGCTGTAATTTTCTGGTGTATATTGTGCTCGAAATTTGGGGTGTTTTTGCTCGAATTTAATGGGTTTCTTTTAGCAGTATTGATTTTCTCCCCTCTTGTATGCCTTGTTTGTCTTTTTGTATCACTATACCCCTCATGGTTTTTCTCTTATCTGTGGTTCCATTCTATCTTTTCCTCTTTTTGGTAGTATGGTACAATTTTTATCAATAGTCACATTTATTTTACTACTATTAGGCTTGATATTTAAAAATAATATTGTTGTTGGTATCTTGGAAAATCGGGTGAAATTGTTTCATGGAAGAAATATAAACTGTCAAAAGAAATTATACGGAGTAAATAGCTGTGGAGGGAGGAGCTTGCTGTTTGTTTATTTGAAAAGTTGTTCATGATTAATTTGGGTGGGGAAATAAGGTTTGTGGACTGGTTTTAAATTACCTTTTATTATTGTAAGGAAAGAAGAAGATGGAAACTTATGTAAGACTTATGAATAATTTTTGCTACATGTGGGTTTTTTCTTTGATCTTGAGATCTGATTTGTCAATCTGTGCCACACAGTTTTAGGCATCGTGTCTTTCTTTTTCATTATTGGACTTGAACATGTTACTAGACTTGGTCGTATTGATCAAGTTTCCTTGTGAATTTGTTTTGAATTCGTGAATTTTTTTGTTTGCTCAAGTAATTTGGGTTTGGATGAGAATTGATTTCCAACCGAGCTTTTTGTCTTCTCATTACGATTTATGATATATTTTTATTTGGATGAGATGATGTATAGATATGGTGTGTTTGTTTTGGTTTCTGTCAGTTGCTGGTTCTAGCAGCTTTGTTTGTTGGAGTATATTGGTAATTTGTTGACGATTTATGATATATTTTTATTTTCAAATAAAATATATATTTGTCATGGAAATGTATGTCTGAAAATGCACTTATGTATCACAACTCATGAGTCATGATTACAATTCAAATTGTGTAGCACAAGTTGATTTTTAGACTAGTTCTCTTTCTTCCTGGTGGTTGTAAAGCAGATTTACTGTCCGTTCTTTCTAATTGATTAAAGTGACTCTCTTAATTCTTAGTGAATTGATTAAATTTTTTTACTGTAAAAATTAAGTAAAGTAACCCTCTTAATTCTTACCCTAAGGTATGGCTCCAAAGGAGCATCTAGTGCGCCACATCTTCTCGTTGACCAAAATGGGCAATCTTCTAAATATGGGGCCACAATTAATCAGGTAACATAAATTATTTTCTGTTGCTTCTATCTAGCTTTAGTTTATGCTGCTGACCTGATTCTACCGTAGCTTCTGTTGAAATGTTGCTGCTGTTGATGTATTTTTCTGATGACCACTGTTGCTTTTTTGTTTTTTTTTTTCTGTTTATGGTTGATGCTTTTGTTGTTTGCTGTTGCTTTTTATTATTGTATGTTGCTGTTGTTGATGTTCATGCTTTTGGTTGGTTTTGTCTGCCTTACACTTCCCCCCTTTTTTCATTTATATACACAAGTCCCCAAACTGATTTGGTGGCTGGTTTTGTCTTCACTTGTTGCACAACTCATCAATTGTTGTTGCCCTGTTCTGTACCCCTGACCAGCTGCTGTAGTGGTGCCATGGTGCTACCTTTTCTCCTTCTGCTGTATCTGTAATCTTCTACAATTATTTATTTCTCTCCGCTTTTGTTATGGCTAGTTTTTCTGCAATTTAATTAACTTGGTTTGTTATTTGTATTTGATTCAATTGATAGCTGGGATTTTGGATTTAGGTTTGTGTTCTATAGTCTATACCGTAATAATACAAAGTCAATCGATCACTGAAGGTCACTTAAGGGAAATTAGTTGTTAGATATACCCTAGAATACTTGGAATCCCTAAAACAACAATTTTCCTTACCAAAACAGACTACAAGGGGGATGTGAAACAAGTATTCTTTGAAAAGGATACATTAGCACCGAAACTCTGAAGGCATATAAACTCCTACCATGTTGCTCACCTCCTTAGTGGAGTACTAATGACTGTTGTTTGCTTGTTGAGGGTTCCCTGTTTCCAAGTCATGATTCTTCTACCTCATAGTGTACACCTTCAATGGTGGTTGTACGGTTTGGTTGATTCATCACACATCACTTTCTTATATAATCTGTCAAAAGCAATAGTTAGTTATTGAATACTACAATTGTTGTGCTTTATGAGTTTCCTTGATTCAGTTCTATTATTTAGTTATATTATTTTTCTATTATTTTTCTATTATTTTATTCTATTTTACGTGTAGGTGCATGGCGAGCAAAATGGAGATGAAGTATAGTGACTAGATGACTAGTCATCTAAAAAATGGTGCAAATATGTTGGCGACTCCTATATTCTATTAAGTTCAAGTCTGTGAAGATTTGGAAATTTCAGCTTATATATATGTTGGAATTTGTATTTTGGACGATTAAATTAATTATATAACTTTAGTTTAGTAGGGTGTCATACCGAAAACAAGCAAGTAATATTTTGTAATGTACGTATTTAGCATTATAATTATTATATATAAATTTAATGATATTTTGTTTCTGTTGTTAGTATATTTAGATTTGTAGTGACTAATTAGTGATTTACAACTAATATAACTTACTCATATAATATTATATTACCGTTTCATTCCAAAAAATAATAATAATAATAATACCGTTGCAGTAGATACGTACTCCATATATCGTTGTATTAGCTTCATCCGTTGCATTAGGTGCCAATTTCATCATAATTATTAGTCAGAAATCTATTGCCACGGATAATTTATGCCGTTGTATCAGGTATTGAGCTAATGCAACGGATCATAGACGCCGTGGCATTAGGTGTCATATACCGTTGCATTAGACCTACTGCAACGCCAGCAGATGCCACGGTACATGGCCGTTGCAGTAGGCCTAATGCCACGGATTTTGACGCCTAATGCAACGGAATTGGGGGTTGCAATAGGTCAAAAATGTTGTAGTGACCAATTCTAATCAGGGTCTATCAGGTTTTAACAGTTCTGAACAGGTTAGGTTAGGTCAATCCTACCTATAGGGTCATTTTCCTACCTAATTAGGTTCTTTTATGTCCATTTGATGTGATTTTAGGTTACTTTTCACTTTTGTGTTCGAATTGGGTTAGTATGTGGAATTTGGTGCAAAAAATTAGGTGTTTTTGGGTCGTTTCCAGTGCTTATAATGTAAATCCTATGCTATAATGTGTATTTGAGCCCTTTGCAGGTACTTTGGAGGTTATATTGGAGTGTTGGGGTCATGTGCCGACTCTTGACTTCCAAAAAGCTAGTCAATCACGTGCACCACTTCCCTCGCAATACATCGCAAGGCAAGTCAGGCTTCACTTGACCTTGGCACTTCACTCTTGTGCCTATGAAATCTCGTACTTGGTAAGACACACTTGTACCTAGTGCCTTATGTTAGCCTCACTCTAAGTAGATGGATGTTATTGAAAGAGAACACTCAAGTATTTGGGAAAAGGATACTCGCATTACTCACACGAATAGTTTACAATGTGGAACTCTCTAAATGTACTCTCTCTAATTATTTGCACAAATGAACCTAGGTGCCTATTTATAGGCCACCACTACAACAACCCTAAAATTCTATAACATTGCTAACCTCCTCAAACGAAGGGTCTAGACCTACACATCCTAGAACTTTCTAGACTAATTCCACTTGTGCATAAGGGCCCTTATGCGCTCCATGCGCACATCGCCCAGTGGGCCGAGTGTCACTTCGTGATAGGACACTTTAATCCTTCAGAGCGTCCACTATAACCCTATTTTGGCCAAATTTCATATATTCATTAAGGGCATGATTGTAATTAATTCGCCTCCAAAGTACCTATAGGGGCTCAAACTAATACAAGTCGTAGCATAGGAATCACATAAAGCACATCAATTATGACTTGAAAACACCCAAATTCTACCAAATTCCTAGGCTAAGACTACTAAAAGAGTGAAAACTAACCTAACCTAACCTTAGAAGACACTAAATGGACATAAAAGAGCCCTAATTAAGTAGGAAAATGACTATGTAAGTGGCCCTCTGAGCCACTTATCACTGAGGCATTGTCAGCTTTTGTGAGAAGTAATAAGCCATCCATAAACATCATGTGGGTGTTGATAACTGATCCCACAAGCCAACACGAGTCCTTTCGACACATTTTGTCCTCACTCATGTGCACCGTAAGAAACTTCCCATGAGGTCACCCATACCAAGACTACTCCCAACCAAGCACGCTTAACTGCGGAGTATCTTAGCATATGAGCTCCCTAAAAGGAAGATGCATCTTGTTGGCATGAGTAGCTCATCAAATTTTATTAAACCAATCTCATGGGTGTTACACTTCTTAGTTGGGAAAGTCTTAGTAGGGTAGCCATTGATCATCACTGAATAGGAAACAGTAGTCACACAACTCGTCACCCAAGTTACAAATCTATGAGGAAATCCAAGTTCATATAACATTGATTTTAGGTTTGGCCAATTAATAGAACCATAGTTTGTTTGGATCTATAATGTTTAACATACATAAGGTTTTGAAGTTTGGGGATAAGTGATATAAAGGTACAATTCCACTGTCTAGCCATTTGGCCAGTCTTGAAAAGGTCATGTATGGTTACTAGAATCCATTTCACTATTTGACTTCATTAGCTTTGTTTTAATCCAATTCATCTCTAATTGATTCTATTTGGTTTGTTTGAATTTGTTTTACTTCTATTTGATTCCATTAGCTTTGTTTGAATTCGTTTCTCACTTTTTTAAAATCAATTTGCTTTGTGGAATCCGTTTCACTTCTATTTGATTCCATTTCCTTTGTTGAATTCGTTTCACTTCTATTGCATTCCATTTGCTTTGTTTGAATATGTTTCGCTTCTATTTGATTCCATTCGGTTATTGGAATACGTTTCACTTCTATTGGATTTCATTTGCTTTGTCTGAACCCTTTTCTCTTCTATTTGATTACATTTGGTTTGTTTGAATCAGTTTCACTTCTATTTGATTCCATTTGTTTTGATTGAATCTATTTCACTTTTATTTGATTCCATTTGCTTTGAGGAATCCGTTTCTCTTCTACTTGATCACATTTACTTTGTTTGAATTAATTTCACTTCTATTGGATTCCATTTGCTTTGTTTAAATCCTTTTCACTTCTATTTGATTTCATTTGCTTTGTTTGAATCCGTTTCACTTATATTTGATTCCATTTGATTTGTTTGAATCCATTTTACTTTTATTTAATTCGATTTGCTTGGTTTGAATCCGTTTCACTTCTATATTTATTCCATTTGGTTATTGGAAATTGTTTCATTTCTATTGGATACCATTTGCTTTATTTTGAATCTGTTTCACTTCTACTTAAGTCCATTTAGTTTATTTGAATCAATTTCAATTCTATTTTTTGCTATATGCTTTATTTGAATCTGTTTGACTTCTATTTGATTCCATTCATTTTGTTTGATTTGCTTTATTTAAATCCATTTCACTTTTATCGGATTCAATTTACATTGTGGAATTGGCAGATTCACTTCTGTTTGATTCCATTTGCTTTGTTGGAATCCGTTTCACTTCTATTTGATTCCATTTGCTTTTTTGAATCTGTTTCACATCTATATAATTCAATTTTCTTTGTGGAAATAGATTCACTTTTAATTTATTTCATTTGCTTTGTTTGAATGGTTTTGACTTCTATTTGGTTATATTTGCTTTGTTTGAATTTGTTTGACTTTTATTGGAATCAATTTGCTTTGTTTCAATATGTTTCACTTCTATTCGATCCCATTTTATTTTTTTAAATTCGTTACACTTCTATTTGCTTCCATTTATTTTTTTTTGGAAAAATTTCAATTTTATTTATTCCATTGTATGAATTCATATCAATTCTATTAGGTTCCATTTGCTTGGTTTGAATCCGTTTCACTTCTATTTGATTCCATTTAAATATTGGAATCTGTATCACTTCTCTTTAATTCCACTTGCTTTCTTTGAATTTGTTTCACCTCTATTTGATTGCATTTGCTTTGTTTGAATCTGTTCATTTCTATTTGGTTCCATTTGCTAATACATTTCACTTCAATTTTATTCCATTTGATTTGTGGAATCCATTTCACTTCAATTTGATTCCATTTGTTTTATGGAATCGTTTCACTTCTACTTGATTACATTTTCTTTGTTTGAATTCGTTTGACTTCTATTGGATTCCATTTGCTTTGTTTGGATCCATTTCACTTCTGTCTAATTCTATTTGCTTTGTTTGAAATTGTTTCACTTATATTTGATTCCATTAGCTTTGTTTGAATCCGCTTCACTTCTATTTTCTTTGTTTGAATTTGTTTCACTTCTCTTTGATTCCATTTCCATTGTTTGAATTTGTTTCACCTCTATTTGATTGCATTTGGTTTGATTGAATCCATTTCACTTCTATTTGATTCCGTTTGTTTTTTTTTCCACCACCATGTGTGGCAAGGTGCATAGGAAGGCCCATCATTGAGTGACAAGGTGTCCGCTCGATTACAGTAGCAAAACAAAATTGGAGAGAATAAAATCCTCCTTTAATGTTTTGAGAACGGATTGACTTCCATGTAAAGTGCCTAGTTTTGCACCTGACTCCATGTAATGGTCTTGTGGATTCGGGGAAGATGGGTCACTGTGATGGTATGACATCATCAACAACACACATTCGTGGCAGAAATCTGTTTTGAGGGTCTTTGCAACAACATATTAATTAAAATACCATGCAAAACAATATATATAACAATATTAGTACAAAAGTTGTTATATTATGTTATTCACAATGCAATATTGATTTTTTAAGATCCTTATATCAAAGATTATAATACATGAAATATTAAATTTTTTACATGATTGTATGTGAAACAATAGAAATTCAATTTTTAATACTTTATAACATGAGATATGGTGATGAAAGCGATTTAAAACATGATGTGCTAACAATAATGATAATGATAATAGTGATAATATAAACAGTAAAAGTTGAATTTTTGGGGCATGCTCAGAAAACTCACGACTATCGGCGTGAGAAACTAGCAGTGCTCTTAAGTAAAATATTGTTTGTAACACCCCCAAATTTCATATTCAAAAGGTATAATGATTGCGGAAGCATAAATTAAAATTTAGGGGTATTACCCCATATTTAGGGTCACAATTCCTAAATGTGAGGCTATTATTCAACCCTCCTCAAGAAACAAGTATTGATCAAAGACTCACATCCATGGTCTTAATTTTTCATTTTACATTGACTATATATGGCCCTCTGATGCACGGAAACTCTTTTGAGGGTTCGCATTTCCTGTTTCCAACACCTTTTCGTTTCAGACATTTGTGGAAACTTTTCCGAAGCTCTAATTTATATTTAATAATGCATGCAAAACATAGGTATTTGAATAACATGAGCAAACTCAAGTTATTATTATTTGCAAAATATATAGATTTTTTTACCATTTATGATATGGACAAAAATCACATATTACTAGTGTACCAGAATAATGCCGTCATCAACCGGCCTA